CTTCTCCGCGGCCGCGGCCGAGTGCTCCTGCCGCCAGGACGGGCTCACCGTCATTGTCACCGCCTGCCTCACCTTTGCAACCGGTGTCACTGTGGCGCTCATCATGCAGATCTATTTCGGGGACCCTCAGGTGAGAAATCGCTTGAGGAGGCCGTGGGAATTGGGGGCTGGCGGAGCAGTGGAAGTGGGCCAGGGCTTGGGAAGGGGGGAAGGTCTCCGAGGCTGGAGACAGACCGGGCAAGGAGGGGGCCTGATCAGGTAGGAGGCACTTGAGGTACCGAGGGAAAAGAAGGCAAACAGGGGCGAGCCCAGGGGACAAGAGGACAGAGCTCCCGCCAGCGCCACCCCACCTCCCCACCCCGTGGAGGTCCTGGGGTAGTGGAGGTACCCTAGGGAAGAGGGGGCTCCTACGGGCCCCAGCCAGTGTCCTTTTCCCTCCCAGATCTTCCACCAGGGTGCCGTGGTGACCGATGCTGCCCGCTGTACGTCGCTGGGCATCGAGGTGCTCAGTAAACAGGGATCTTCTGTGGATGCAGCTGTGGCAGCAGCCCTGTGTTTGGGGATCGTGGCTCCGCACAGTTCCGGCCTCGGCGGGTGAGGCACCCCCTGCTGTGCGGGTTGGGGGGGGGTCCCCCCAGGACAGGCCCAATTCCCTGTCCTGGTCTGCAGACCTCATGGGGGGGGGTCTCCAACTTGGAGCAGAGGGAGGGACAGGCCCCAGCTCCTTGCATTTGTTCCTTTCACACACAATTCTATCCCTCTTCTTAGGTGGAGTCAGAGGAGGTGTTTTCAAAAGCTTTTTTTTTTTTTTTTTTTTAATTTGGAAAAGGATTTTGTAAATTGTGACCCGAGGCGCACAGGCAGGGGTGTGCTGTCATTAATTAAGGTGGGATACTTAAACCTTCAGGCTCACAAATCCCTGAGAGTCTGATGGAAGCTCCAGACCCTCCCATCCTCCAAATACACAACCCAGCTAAGAATTCTTAAAACAGACGTGGTAAGCTGGCCGCCCATGCGCCACACCCAGAACACAGACCGGTTTGGTCTGCAGACTTACATTTTTAAAAATTTGTTTCCCATTGTTAAGAAGTTGAGAATTTCCAACATCCCTTGAGCCTGGAGAGACCTGGTAACGCAGGGTCCACAGTTCCATGTGACTGCAATTATCCGGATCTGAGTTGACGCTGCTTCCCATTCCGTGCCTTCTACTTTGCCACAGTTCCTACCACTCCCTATTCTTTGTTATGTTACTTGGCCACAGGCCAACCCTCTCAGATGCAACCACCGTCTCAGATGGAAACAAGTCACAGAAAAGGGACAAGCTGACAAAGTCCATGTCTTGGTTCCTGTAAGACCAGCCCTCCAGGCCCTACCAAAGAAATTCTCCTTTTGGTTTTGCACAGTCTGTTCTTACATAATTCAGTCCTGGGAGAGGGAGCAGAGGCATACCATGGAGGCAGGTGCAGGAAGCTGGCGGGGGTCCAGCTGTGGTCTGGGGTGGGGGGGGTGGGGCAGAAGAGCCTGCTCTCCCAGTCTCTGGGGTTTTTCTAATCAGGGATTAAGTTCTCCAGTGACAGGCTGGAAGAGGTCCACAAACTCTGGATTCCTGCCTCGATTCCACTCCTCACCATAGTGGTGTAGCTGAGTCTCTGAATCCCTGTTGGGAAGGGGGCTCAAACACTTGACTCCTGATGACAAACTGAGCCTACAGCCATCGCCATTGGGAATTTAGGGGTGGCAGGTTAACTGTTCAGAGGGGTGGCATCTTTTCATCACCCTCCCCCTCTGTGTCTCTTCCAGTGGGGGTGTGATGCTGGTACATGACATTCGAAGAAACGAGAGCCACCTAATTGATTTCCGGGAGTCTGCACCGGGGGCCCTCAGGGAAGAGGTCCTACAGAGGTCCTGGGAGACCAAGGTGGGGACCCTGGTGATAAGAGAGTACGGGGGGG